TAACACAATGAATGGCATTTTAGAAAACTTGCCACTGAACGTAGGATATATACCTTAATTATTTACAAGAAAAGAAAGTGACATTTGTTGGAACCAGAAATATATATATATATATATATATATATATATATATATATATATATATATATATATATAGCTGTCAAATATATATGTGTAAAAATATATATTATATATGAAAAAAAAGAAATTCCACCAGATATTTTACTAAAAAAGGATTGTTATATGGTTAAACATATGAGGTTTGAAAAGAGAAATTTCTTGTTTCACTTATTCTGTATTGCACTTTCATGCTCGTCTGCAAAATGCATGGGACTTAACCGGTATTTACAAAATAAATAGTTCAAAATTCATCGTGGATTAAAATTCTACGAAAGGTGTACACGATACATTTAGTTAAACGTATGATTCCTACTTTGATTCGTTCATTGCAAAGTGTATTCTATGTATTAGAGTTCAATAGATAACACAGAAGAAAGGACAATACATTTTAGTAAGCTAGTTTAACTACAGAAAACTCCACCAACTCGAAAGAATTCCAACTTTTCTTTCGTTTTTAAAACTGCCATACTTCCTTTCTTTCGTACCCAAATTGGCCGCGGTAGCCGAGTGGTATAGGTATCGGACCGTGGCTTACCTTGTCATGAGTTCGATCCCAGTTCCTTTAAAGATCCGCCGTGTAAAGCCGCGATGCATGTTAAATCTGTTGAGAGCTGAAACGTCCTCCCGTTGGTGTGGGGTGGTAGTTAGTAGAGGGGGGGTACCAGCTCAAATGTCGTCCACGTCACTTGACCATGGTTCAAAATTACGTGGTCCGTCGCCAAAAGCCCTCGTGTAGCTGAAAAGTGCGACGTTAATATTAAATCAATCAATCAAGCAATCCGTACCTAAATTAGACAAAAAAAAAAAAATCCGAATCGAAAAGACCGTTTTCTTTGTGAGGACAGGGTATGATTTTTCTTTGAAAATAACCATATTTTGTATTTTTTTTATTTTTTTACGTTTCCTATTATGATTCAAGGAATTCACGAATAGAAGTTTCCAATTGCTCTGTATCACTCTCTCATGCCATAAAAAAGCTTACATTTTGCTCTTTTAGATCCAGTGTTAGAAAAGTAAGATTTTAAATTTTCTTAATTATTTTTATTATTAATACGTATTTTCAAAAAAATATCGAAATTTGATTTAAATGTTTAATATTTACGAAAGTTAAAAAATAAAAATACGAAATTTTTCCAATGTGTCATAACTTACTTAAATATTATGGATTTAAAAAAAAAATCTGCTTTTCGTCCAATAGTCTTTTTTTGAGTGTTTATCTAAGAAATTTCTTCTCTACATTTTCTGTTTGAAAATCACCGTTGTTTGCTTTTGATATGTGAAATTTGGAAGCGTTTACTTAAAAACCAAGATTTCTCAAAAAAAAAAAACTCTTTATACATCGCATTTACTTTCCTTTTTACCCCCAGAGTTGTCCGTCTCCTTTCTCTCTTTCTCTCGATAAATAGAACGAAGAGAAAAGAAACCCACTGGATAAGAGGAAAGCAGGAGAAATTTTTAAAAAAATGTGACAGAAATATATAAATCATCTGGAGGTGCTGGCGTCGAGAGGGTAAGGAAATTTCATTGGGGGAAATGAGGTTTTTATTTCTACACTTGTAAAGGCCCGCGAAATATCGGACTATGCGCGCAGTCAGTATTTTTATAATAATCTCACGGCATATTTTTATATAAAGTCAAAAAAAGCTTTTCGGTTTATTGAATAATGAGGACGGTAAACTTATATGTATACAATTAAATTTCTTAAAAAGAGTATCTCAAATTCTTAGATTTTTTTATCTGTAGACCTGAACAAAATAACTTTGTAATTATTATGCTAGAAATAATAAAGATGATTCTTGTGCATAGTTGAAATAGGTTTCACATGGTTAAGTTTTTTTGTTTATTTTCCGAGAAACAAGACATATACAATTTTAAGCGAAAACTTCTAAATTTTAAATAAAAAAGAATTCCAAAAAGTTTTTTTAAATTCACTTTTCTTCCAACAATGATAGATTAACATGTATTTTTCTGCGATCATCAAACATGATATAATTAATTGAGTTTACTAAAAACTCTATACATATTTTGAACAACAAATTCGATCGAAATAAGTTTCCATGGAAGAGTTTTACAACAAAAAAAAATTAAGTAATATATAAAGTACTAAGTAATTTTTAAAATGTGTCAAAAAAACTCTCTCTCTCTGTCTCTAGACGTTATTTATATCTTATAATGCATTTAGCCGTTATTTTCAACATGTATTATATTCGTTACATATTAAAATGAAAGCTTAAGAGGTTATTGAAATGATTTCTTCTAATCATTTTTATGTCTTAATCAACGATATAAATTGCATTTTTATATGTATTAAAATTTTAAAATTCCTTATTTAAATATTTATAAGAAATTATGAATGTATGTATGATATTTTTATATACAAGAATATAATTCATGAGATAAAATATTAAAAATTCTAAAATAATATCTTGTAATCTGAATATATTTTAAGGAGGTAAATTATTCAACAAACTGTGCGGATAAGCAGCTATTCTATTTCATTAAAATTATTATTAAAAAAGAAAACAAATTTTCCATTAAGGTAAAAGCTTTAAATATATCATTATTCTTCATTTCCATCTTAGCGTAATTGGGCTCTGAAACTTTATACAATATTGTAATCCTGATTAAAGTATGAAATTTAAATATATTTGAATTAAATTTATGAACTAAGAGGATTAATTTCTGTTTTACTGTAAAGTATCTCTAACAGGAAACGCCGCAAATAAACGAAGGATACGGCACGATTCATTTTTTGAAGCCTCTATTTCAACGTAATATTTGAAGATTTAATAAATGAAAGACACGATAAAAACAATTTTTTTTTCATAAAAAGATTTTATGATAATGATATATAAAAGACTTAAATATGAATATTACTTACTGAAATGTTAAAAAAGAGATTTATTAGAGCATTACAAGATTTAAAAAAAAGATGTTTTAATCAAAAATCTGAATATATATATATATATATATATATATATATATATACAGTTATTTATAAAATTGAATTAAGTTCTGCATTTTGATATTCTAATCAGATCTCATTGTAACCTAAAATACTCGTAATTAATAATTAATGAAATTATTAATCTTTTTAAAAATTTTTAGCCTTTACGATAGCGTAGAACTATTTATAAATAAAGTAGAAGGAAAAAGACAGACACATAAAAATAGGAGCACGAGCACGAGGACACGCTATCAAATATTGACATTTAGTAAAATATTCCATTTATTTAAGAAATAACTTGATAACTTCAGATAATATAAATTATAAAATAGATATTTATTTTTATAAGTTTAAGTTAAAACAAAATTAGTTTATGGTGCAACATACGTCTTCTAACAGTACCCAAAAAATCCCAAATAAATAATAATTTTAAAATGAAAAATTGCTTTGGTTTAATATATTTTAACACGCTTATAATTTTTTAAAAAAATCTTACAGCTTCATTAACTTTTACGAAAATAAATAAAATCTTTAAATAAATCTATGTTAAAAAATGGTTGCATATGCATTACAGAGTATAACGGTAAACACATTTCTCGGCCATATGTATCTTTAATTATTTTTCAAGAAAATATAAATATCTTGCAGCATTATAAAAAAAAAAGGTTGTCAGAAAATAGCATGCGTTTATCAGAAAATTCGAAGAATCTTCATTTAAAAATAGATCATTTTGAACTTATTTAAAAAGATTTCAATCCAACACACAAACACACAAGTATGCTTATAATTTAAAAAAATTATTAACCAGGCAACAAATCATTTTTCTAAAAGTGATATGTTCCAAGTGTTAAATTATCCATAGAGTTTTAAATAATTGTTACGGCAGAGTTAACACTCATATATTAATATTCAAGAAATGTTTGATCAATATTACAATCATGATCTCAAAAACTTAAGATCTTTCAGAACCAGCATTTTCCTAAATTTGAATGAAGTTTTTCCTAACATTCAAACTAAACAAATTAAATGAAGGTTTGGGAATTAAAGTTTGACTTTTTTATATTTATCAAGAAAGAGCTTCGTAATTATGCCTAATTATATTTGCATATAACTTGTCTTTCAAACATATAAATTTCATCTAAACGGACAGAGATTTAAGTTTTTTTTTTCTTTTTTGTCATTAATTTTTTTTCTCAATCCGATTTCTCTGTGTTTACAGAAGAACTTCACCTTTTTATTCTGCCAGAATAGCTAGTTAAACGAATGGAATGACCTATAACACGGTATCCCAGACTTTCTCGGTGCAATTTTTATACAAATTATGAGAAATGTCGCCTTCCAGAAGGGATTACAATAAAATTGAAATAACTTTTATGTACTTAATTATTTACGTTTATCGCTTAATTTAGAAATTTTAATACATTCGACTAATTTTGAAAATTATGTCTCTAGTAAATTTCATTACTTGTGGTTCGCATATAAAACCTGAATATTGTATACTGTAGGGTAAATGACTAGTTCTTAATTGGGTTCTTAATCACCCTATAAAGCAACAAGAAGGATTTGGTGACATACGTCGTATTTTTGAGCCTCGGTCAAAAATAATGAGTAAAACTACGCCATTAAATTTATGATCGATTTTCTCTTAGAAAAGTTCATTCAATTCCTATTATTAGTTCACTATCTCCCTATATATATATATATATATATATATATATATATATATATCTTAATCAAATTTTCAATCCTTAATAAAATATATATATACTTTCTTTTTATCCATTCAAGTTCCAATACATTTTTAAAACTTCTAGTGGATGACACTTTATGTTAATACAATTTTTAAAATATTAATTGATATAAAAATGAATGAATAGTAACAAGTAAAAATAATAGTCCAACAGCATATATAGAAAGGAAAAACGTTCGTTGTATCCCTGTAGCGTAATGAATCATGCGTTGGACTGCTAATTTAAAGGTTGTGTGTTCGAGTTCCACCTGGGATGGCCGAATTTCTGAAAATGTGATTTCTTTTATTAATACTATTTTATTAGAATAATTAAATTTAATTAATGAATAAATATTAACAAACAAATATAATAGTCCAACACCATATATAGGAAGGAAAATGGAAAAAATTGCAATGAAAATCACTTTCTATTTTTTCACTTAATATTATGATTCTGTCTCTCGTATGTATAAACATATTTATATTAATTTTAACTATTTAATGAAAACTAACTAAAATAAATTTTTTCTTTGTTGGCCTAAGTAAGAACTGAAGTATTTTTTTTTTATATTTCTTATTTTTAATTTATGACGTTAGCCTACTTCTAATTTTATAAAATCGATAATATTTTTCTCTACAATCTTACCATATATCTTATAGACATGAATATTTATACACTGCTGGACAATTGCTAAAGACGGATAACACTATCATCCATAGCAACCACAAAATGAAAGGGAGCAAAATGTGGAAAATTAGAATAAGTGCGGGATATTAGTAAGAAGAAGTATGAGTATATGCAATTTTTTTTACCACGTCTGTTCATCACGTGAGAGAGTTCTTAAGAGCTTTAAAGGTTTTGACGCGTGTGGACAGTTGTTGTTTCAAGTCAAAGTTTTACAGGAAAGATTTAATAGACGAACTTAAAATTTTTGGCATGTCTTCCCGACATCACATAGATGATTTTATGCGTGGCCGAATTATTGGAAAGATCGAAGAAGGGCAAAAAATAACAGATGTTGCCAGGGAGTTCGACATCGCTCACAGCGTTGTTTCACGGCTGTGGAAGTCATTTCAAACTACTGGAATGTGTAGTAGATGGCACGGGGGTGGTAGTGTTAGAAGTACGACGCCTGCAGAAGACAGATATATCATCCTTTCAGCAAAAAGGAACAGGCGCACCACAGCTCAGCAGGTGGCAAATCAGTTTCTTGCTGCCTCAGGAAAGCAGATCTCCCGAAAAACTGTTGCCAGACGTTTGAAGGGAGGAGGACTATACGCACGCAGACCTGTTGTGTGTGTCCCATTGACCAGACAGCACCGTACTGCCCGTTTGCAATGGTGTCGTGAGCATCACAATTGGACTGAACAGGACTGGGCATGCGTACTATTCTCAGATGAGAGTAGGTTCAGTCTGTCATCGGATTGTAGACGCCAACTGATCTGGCGCGAGAGTGGTACTGCTTATCGTCCAGAAAATATCCAGGAAAAGGACCGATATCCGACATGCAGTATCATGGTGTGGGCCGGCATCATGATCAATAGCCGCACGCGCCTACATGTGGTTGCGAATGGGACTATGAGGGGCCAACGATACATTGATGAAGTTCTACTTCCTCATGTCTGTCTTTTCCGTGGTGCTGTTGGTGATAAAATTTTTTTTATGGACGACAACGCAACATGTCATTGAACACTCTCTGTTGAGAATTGTCTAGACAGTGAGGGTATTCAACGTCTCGTATGGTCAGCGCGTTCTCCAGATCTAAATCCCATGGAAAATGTGTTGGATGCTTTGGGGAGGCAAGTTGCTGGTCGAAACTATCCTCCGACAAACAAGAACACCCTCATCCGTGCACTCACAGAGGAATGGGATAAATTGCCTCAACAGCTGCTGGATAATGTTGCGCAAAGTATGGTACGACGTGTGGAATGTTGCATCACACTCCACGGTGGACATATCCCGTACTGATACCTTTCTTTAAGGTGCCTGCTGACTTTTATAAATGCATTGTTCCATTTCTCCGTACGCAGATCAAATGAACATTTTTTTTTCTTTCAGATGTTTCAGATGTCAGCTTTTGTACTTTCCAGAACAATAAATATTCTTTATTCTAATGTCTGAACAGTAGGGCAACTATATTTTATCCTACTAGGCCTCATGTCTCGCTTAATGTTATGCTACATAGTAATTTGTGATCCGTCCTTAGCAATTGTCCAACAGTGTATATTAAAAGGTTCCAGTTTTTTGAATTATATATTCTATAATTTAACAATGTCTTTGCTAAATATTTTTTTAAAAAATTCATAATTATACCCTCTTAAAGGAAAATGTTCTCCTAATTGTATATTAAACCCCCTTTTTGTACATTTTTTTTAAACCAGAGAAAAAGTTATTAGCCTCCATTGAGGTTCTTTTTAAAGGTTCAAAAGCGAAAAAAAAGAAGATAACGGAAAAATAAATATATAAACTGTAGAAGTTTTCACTATCATTCAACTTTTTAGTTTCTTGCTGTTATAAAATGACACTGTAAATGTGGTAGACATCAAATAAAACAAGATCAAACGCTTCTGACTTTTCTGCTTTTTTCAGGAGTGTTTTGAGTGACAGATTGAGTATCTCTATTCCAATTTCCTGTCGTTTTTCTTTCGGATTGCAACGATCCTTTGACGTTTAAAGCAAAAGGTAAGACGTCACAATGTCAACCGAGAAAGCTTAGGAATCAAAGTTTTCGTTTGAGTTTAAGTCTAATATTTTTTTATTTCGGAAAGGCTGAAACAGAATTTTGGTTATACACTCACGAATAAAAAAAAAATAGCGCTCCAAGAAGGAATCGTCAAAATGAAACGAAATTTTACATACGTAATGATTACTTTGATATAAGTACATGAACAGAAAATCAAAGAAAAAGAATCATTTATTTCAGAGAAAAGGCAAAACAACGGAGGATTTAATACCCTGTTGAACCCCCTCTAGCGCGAATGCACGAAGCAAAACGATCGGGCATTGAGGCATACAAGTTCTGTATAATGTCTTGAGACATTTCATTCCATATTTGCTGTAACCTTGCCTCTAATTCGTTCAAACTCGTGTGATGCCCAACTCACCGTCCCAAATGATCCCAGATATGCTCGATTGGAGACAAATCTGGAGATCTGTCTGACCAAGGAAGGGTAGTAACAGTGTGGTGGAGACAGTCTTGTGACACCCTTGCCGTGTGAAGCCGAGCATTGTCTAGTTGGAAAATGGCTCCTGGGAGCCATTGCATTAGTAGCAACACATGTGGTGTCAGGAAGTCATGAACATACCGCAGAGCTGACATGGTTCCACAGATCAATACTAGGTGTTCACTGTGTATTGTAGGCAATGGCACCCATACCATCACACCAGCTGCGGGAGCAGCATGTCGTCGTAAAGCAAAGGCAGGATTGAGGCCTTCACCAGGGGTCTCCAAACACGAACACGACTGCTGATATTGTCTTCGAAGACTACGTAATGGCATGTTTATCTCAGCTCTTCCTTTGTAAACGATTCAGCATACTTAATCAAGCTTTAGTTACCTGTTTTATACTCCACGGAAAACAACGTTAAACGCCCTCTATTGGCTATACGTAATACTCAATCTCGCTAGATTTCTAATCATTAACATATCTCCCCGACATGTACTTTCATGTCAAGTTTCGTTACGATTCCGCAATTATTTCTTGGTGTGGGCTAATTTTTTTGTCCATAAGTGTATTTTGTAATTATTTTAAAAGTTGTTCAAAACTAAAAGAAAAGTAATCTGTAATTTGTGGGGTTGTTTATCGATATTTCGATCTGTTTCATTAACTTTTTGTTAATTAGAGATTTTTTTATTTCAAATATAATTTTAATTTTTACCTTATGATTTATGTAAAGTAAAATTATAAACTGTGCTAATTTTCAAAAAATTATAATAGCATGCATGATAAAATCTTTCACTGGAATAATGTATTTTGAAGTTAATTGCATTATTTATTCCATTATAAATTATGTCGCACATATTGCAGTGTATATGCATGTTTATTAAAGATTTGAGAACAGAAAAAGGAAAAAGCTATTTCTTGCAACCATAAATCAAAAAATTTAAATAAAAAAGGACTCATTAATACATTAACTTTTTTAGTTTTTAGTAATAACATTTTCATAACGGTCAAATAAAAAAAATACATCATTGATTCTCTACAAACCCGTTCGATAGTGTGTATTTCAAATCCAGATGTACTTACCAAATTTAAATATCCATCAGAACTGTTTTTGTACAACAGTATGACACTAAATTGATTAGATGTTAATTATCTATTTGCACTGCATAAAATAAAGTTTTTGTTGCTTAGTTAAAATGTTAAAAAACTAGTAAATTTACAAAAGTACTATTATTTGAATTTTCATTTCCGTTTCCATATGTAAAATATTTTTATTGAATTTTAACTGCAGTTAAATTAACTATATAGTACCTGGATAAAAAGAGAGGCCTTTACTCACCAAATTCAAAACAATCCCAACTGGGTAGGTATCTTGAGATCTAGATAGCAACGATTTAATAATCAATCACGATGACAAATTGAGGAAATAATTGTCACTAGCAGCCAGTTTTAACCTACTGAAGTATAACCCTAATTTGGAATGTAGTAAAAAATACGCAGAATACAGAAAGCTAAAAAGCATGTTCTTAAAGATATTCATTGGATACCGTTTAGATATTTATTATTGCACTAAAGTAGTAGCTAGTTGTGCCGTATGATCAGTTACAATTATAAAGATGTTAAGATAAAAATAAATATCAATTTTAAAGCACATTCATTCTTCCTAAAGTTTGATTTTACGTTTAAATTTCACATATTATACTTTTTATTCAAAGTGATCACTTTTTGACTAAGTCTCGTCCGCCAATCATATATAGAAATACACCCTCCTCCAAGGGAATTTCTAGCGTTGCTTTTCCTTCAAGAAACTTTAAGACTGTTAAAATTGGAATCCTATCAAAAGAACATAAATGGATAATTTTCATGATATTTAGTGTCACTCAGATTAGAATGCATGCATAAAAGTGTTTTAAGGACATTTTGATCAAAACAATTTATTTAAATATAATATTTTGGCACAAAATAACTTAGAATAATCTTTTTTTTCCAAATGTTCTCCTTTTGTAAAAAATGGATCTATTATAATAATATTGTGCCTGTATATAGCTCAGATCTCTGTACAGTGTCTCGACTAGAATGTTTGAAAAATTCACATTATTTTCAGAGTTACCA